TACCAAAGCAGTGACGTAAGTTCACCACTTTCGAAGCTTCGGACGTCACTGATCACGTGACTTTTACCAAACGAATCAAGCTCCGACACAGTGCTTCTGAAWCAGTGTGTTGTTTTTTTTAATACATGCGCCGAAGCTTCAGCTTCAAACTGCCCATCACTACAGCTCAACAACAATCAATTGTCGTCTGAAACCCCATTAAACAATGCCTTAGATATTAAAAATTAACTTTTAGCAACTTGTTGGCAGTTTTTATGAGGTTTGCTCGCTGTATGCAGTCGGCTAAAAAATGTTTTGAGCACAACTCGTGCCGTGGTAGCTAACTAGCTAAAGACTCTGGGCATGTTTTTGTTTACCAACTTTCAGCTAAGTTTTCTACATATTATGTCTTACGTGACAGCAGTAATTCGTTCTTCTTTGTACTGGTTTTTAATAATTTAACTACAGTTGTATTAGTTGGTCGACATGGGAGACAAGGAGCTCATCCTTGTTGATAAGCAGATAACAAGGTAAAAACGGTTTTGATTTTTACATAAACTGTAACTTTTCATACGTGCATACTTTAAAAGAAATTTAAAATGTGTTTTATTGATCTTGCTAACAAAGCATGTATAAAGTTAAGGAAAATATTTGTACAAACTGGCAACAATAAGTCCCGTTATTATTGTATTAATTCATGTTTTTAGTATTTTTTATGTTTACTCTTAATTAATAATCTTAAATGTGCATGCATTTTGATGTTAGGTTAGGTTCAGCATTTCCTATTTACTTCGTACATGTTTTTATTTTATTTTATGTGTCATATTTTTCAGCCAAGAGACGTAGAAAGAAAAATATTTTCCTAAAACTTGCACTTTGTACTCTGTGACAGTATTAGACCAAAAGGATTTAAAAAAATCCACAAACCACTGAATTCTTTTGGCCATTATTTATTGCCAATTCGGTACAACCCATCAATTCTCAAACTTTTCAGGCTTTGGAACCACAAAAATAACAGCAGCAGAAATTTGTAATGCCAACTTGTTTTATTTAATGTAGGCGTTCAAAGATAATAACTTGACCAATTAAAAGAGTTTAATGACCAAAACCACTATTAGACTATTTGTATTCACTTATAACAATAAAATTTACCTCAAATATTAGTTGTCATAAAAATGAACACCATAAGATAGGTTTTAAATAGTTACATTTGTACTAGAGACAGATGTTTATTTTTTTAATATCATGTTAGTCTTTCAAAATCTGCCATTAATTTTATTCACAGCTTTTAGGACTTTTATTTATAAAGCTAACCAGTTTAATTATAAAATGCACAAAGTTATAAATCTATCTTAAATTTGTGCAAGTCTTCACTCACAGCAGATGCTTGTGATATTTATGTTTTTTCTGTGATTCTTAAGTTCCTGTCTTCTGTATAGTTTGGTAGATCTTCCCCTGACACCTGCTGTAACGTCACTTAATCTGCGTTGCAATCACATCTCGAGGATCAAGGGCCTCTCCTCAGCGTGGCATCTGCACCACTTGGACCTTTCCTCCAATCGCATTTCTAAGATCATGGGTCTGAGTTCCCTCACATCTCTCAGGACCTTGAATTTATCGTCCAACTTAATCACAAAGGTTGAAGGTGAGTCTTTGGTTAGGCTTGTGTTTGTCATCATATATTTGTAACTCAGCTGTAAATGTCCTCTCCCTTTATCAGGGCTGAATGGCCTGGTGAACCTAACAAAATTAAACTTGTCCTACAATCAGATAAATAAACTCACTGGTGAGTCTGAACAGTTTTCATTTTGTCCCTCCGCCGAATAAAAAGTAAAACGGTTAACGTGTCACCGATACATTAATAAATGAGATTTTTCAATTCTTCGTCAGGTTTGCTGTATCTCCACGGCACTGAGTACAAGCTGAAGCACCTCAGTCTCCACGGGAACCGCCTTGACAGCATCGATCACCTCCTGCAGTGCCTGCTGGGACTACAAGGTTTACGAGACGTCACTTTAAGTCAGGATGGTGGAGACAACCCTGTCTGTAGTTCACCTGGTAGGAGTGAAAACACTAACTTTGGTGTGCATCGTTTCACAAACGAATATGTTGCATGTAAGTTTCTATAAGCAGATTCTGGGGAAAGAAGAACTTAAATCACCCTGAAGTGCTAACGCAACTAGCGAAATCTCACAGTATTGCATGAAGTGGTGCATAGGGTCATGGGCAACTGTAGTTTAGAACTTGGGTGAAGAAAATTTTATAATTGATTAACTAAATGTTAGATGCAGTGTTGTATTTTTACACTTTCTGATCATTGCAGCCTTAAGGCTGAAACAGAGAAAGAGTTGGTGTGTCTTATCGATGTGTTCTTTCTGTCTGTATAAACAAAAGCTGTTTATGTGCTGACGTTTGACGTAAAAGTTACCACCTTCAGGGCTGTAACCAGGAAGAGAAGTAGGTCAATTCATTATTATAGTAAAAAGAAGTTGTTAGTTTTGGAGACTCTGCTTAGATCCAGCCTGGACAGACTGGGCTGCTTTTGTTTGGGTTTTCAGATACAGCCTTTTGCTGAGTAGGGTTGGGCATTATTGGCAAAAAAATCAAAAAGAAGCACGATTAATTGTGGTATTTAGCCGATAACGACTAATTTGAGGATTAATCCCCTGGAGTCCCTTATGTCCTGGTCACATGACCAATTTAGTGGGAAAGATTTGCTCTTTGTAAAAATCAATTACAAATTGTGTCAAAATTACAGACTTCAGGCTATACATCAAATTTTAAGTTGCATTGATAGATAAATAAATTAGAGAACTTTTTTTTTTAATGTTCATCATATTTAAAGCGGAGAGAAGCACCAGTCAGCCTGCCTGTTTGGTGGCATTAATTGTATTAATCATCAATTGCCAAAAAATAATCGATTTATGTTTTTCTGATGATTAATTGCACACGATACGATTATGCCCAACCCTAATGCTGAGTGCTGTACTGTGAACCTGATTGGAGTCAGAAATGAGAATAAAGTTTTTAGAAGAAATCCAGTGGATTCCTGTTTGATTCAACAGCGCATTTATTTCTACATGGGGATAAAATTCAGTGGGTGATATATATTCCTTCAAGGCATGCTAGGCCTTTAATTTTCTTTAGTCTTGAGGACGAAAAAGCAACAAGTGAGTTCCAACATTTTTTATGTAATATTTTATTCTGTGTGACAGCTCAGTAAAAAACCATGCACATTCAGGCTGACAACCTCTAATAGTAACGAGTGCGATCTGTTTTGTTACTGTGTAATTGTATGGTCCTGCATCGTGCTATTTGAACTGACAGCAGTATAATTGTAAAAAAAAAAGTTCTTCTGTGGACTCATATGTAGGTCGTTCTGTTCATGATTAATTCACAGCAGCAGTCAGAGAAAGCGTCTCTGTTCGTCTCAGTAAAGACAAGTTGTGCTTCACTCTTCCAGCCCTCGCTGCCTGTGTGCGCAGATGTACTTACATAAGCTGTTCTCGGGTCTGATTATATAAGCTGCGTCTGTAACGAATAAAAGAACGGAGGCTATTTGTTTGAATAGAAGTTGATTTTGTTCAACGAACACCACAGCATCTGATGTTAAATGAAGACTGCACTGATGATAATTCCGTGAAAAATCACGCAGCTCCAGGTTTGTCAGGTTTTTTTGAAATGGGTTTCTGTTTCGCCGAAGGTTACTGGGAAGTTATTATGGAAACGCTGCCACAAATTTCAGTTCTGGATGGTTTGGACCGGCTTCGACAACCGTCATCTCCTGGTCTAAGCAGCCTCTGTGACATTCCCGGTCTGGAGGACTATAAGGACTTTTTGATTTCCTCTGATACAAGTCACAACGAAGTGGTAATTCTTTATATTATGTGAACCTAAATTCGCAATTTTTCACAACATTTTTATCTTAAATCTTTATTTAATAGACCAATAACGAAATGTTTGCCCAAATGAAGACATAAAATCCAAATTCTTCACAAACACGTTTTGAAAGTTCACTTTTTTATTATGTTTTATGCTACTTTACTCAAAGTTCTCAAAATGTTTACTCCTTCAAATAAGCTTTAAGTTTTCATTGCAGGTTAAAAGTGCTGTTACTACACCTCGCATCGACAAGGTGCTCACCCAGTTTCGTCAGAGTGCCTCAGGAGGAGTCACAGATCCAGTCACACGGCTCGTCAGTCAGAGCTCCCAGCCCGTTCCTCCCACTGATCAACCAGACCCCATTAATGAAGAGCGCATCAGAAAACTGGAGCACCAGGTGTCCCAGCTCATCCAGAAGGTGCATTATTAACCTGCTGAAAGCCGTTAACACAAAAATGTTTTTTTTACGGAGTGTCTGAACTCTCTGTCCCGCACCTGTCGTGCTCAGTCTCCAGCAGGCGGCTGACGTGTCTTATTGTGGCTCCATCCCAGCCATTTACTTATTACAGCAATGTGCAAATGTTTTAGACATGTACTGTTTATCATTTCTATCAGTCACATCAGGAAGGTGCTGGATCAGACTCTACTCTAGCCTGAAGCAAAAAAAAATAGTCTGTTCAGTTTCAGTTTCAAGAACTAGAAGTCCTGCAGCAGACTGAGTCCCAGAGTTCTGGTCTCATCCCTGAGATGGGTTTTAAAGCATCTGGAGGAGTGTGGTGTTTCATTTTAGTAATTTAATTTTAATAATTAAAGAAAAAGGAAACTTTGTTTACGAACAAAGCATCAGCATTTTCACATTGCTCAAACAAGCTGCATGTTCTTCATTTTCTACAGCATAAATGGACGTTTTGGGTTCATGCACGCATTAGCTTATCCTTCCATTAAAAGAAAAATAATTATCTTGCAGTAGTAAGTAGTTATCTTCCAAGCATGCACTGTAAAACCAAAAAAAAAATGCAAACAATATTTTATATACAGATAATAAAACAGCACCACTGCACAAACACAGTAAATTTATAGATGTTTTGACTTACAATGATAAAAAATTCACTGAAAAGTTAGAAAATCAGAGTCTGACATTTCAAAAAATGCATCAACTCTGAGTCTGTCTGGCATTGCCTTTCACTTTTACACAGAACTGTGGTTCCTTCAGTCAAATATCCTGTGTGGGTTTTGTTGTCTCACATACTTTGGTAACGTCTTTGCAATATTTATTAAAGGCCCCTGCAGGTGAAAAACCGAGCATCTCTGTCCATTCTGCGGCGAAGCTTCGGAAAGCCAAGAGGGACACGGACCACACGTCGGAAAGCGAGCGTGACAGCGAGAAGGAAAACGGGACATGCTCGAGGATTCCCAAACAGATTATTGTCACGACGTCAAGTTTTACCACCCAGGAGAGCAAGAGCACGAGATCTGACAGGTGAGTCGACAGAAAAATAATAAATCTGATGTTGGTTTATTTTAAACTGAATTATTATTATTATTATTATTTTTCTTCCCTTCTTAAGTTGAATGTGGTATCTTTCTGTTACTTTGAAAACTGACAAATTAAAGTCTTTTTTTTACAACGCTGGCTGACAGATGTGTTTATAATGTAGTAAATAAAATAATCTTATACAAAGTGCAGCAACTTAACATCATTTGGTATTTATTTAGAAATTTATTCATTTCATTTGTAACACTTATACATAAATAACAAAAACAAAACATGAAATCAAAATAAAATCAAATAAAATGAAAGGCAGCAGAAGGAGAATAAATCTTATATCTGCCCCTTTTTTATACCCAAAATATGTTCAAAATTAAAGTAAATTACAAGAAAAATCAAAACAAGTGAAAACACAAAAACAAAGCTAAATTTAAAACACCAACTCAAAACAATTAGCATGAATTCACTTATGCTTCTCCATATTTCTTCAGAATACTAGATTTTATCATTCTCTTTAATACAAGGATCTGGCATTTTAAACCTCATCTTCCAGACCGTTCCACACTCTTATTCCTTGGATTAAAGTGGATCGCTCCTTCAGGCTCATACGGAACCAGGGTTTCACAAACATTTCGATTCCCTTAAGATAATAACAGCTCTCTCTTTTAACAAAATTTACTTGAATGTTGGAAGGTAACACACCTTTATGAGCTCTGTACATTAATAGTAAGGTATTATAATCGATCAAATCATAGAGTTTCAATAATTTTAATTCATGAAAAAATATATTTGATGGATGGCTGTAATTTTTTCTAGTAATAATCCTTAGAGCTCTTTTCTGCAAAATAAAAGCAGGATTTGTGATGGTTTTGCAAGCTTTACCCCAGACTTCAATACAGTAAATTAAATGTGGAACAATTATAGCATTATACAACATAAATGGTGCTTTATCATTGAACAGTTCTCGTACTTTGTACAGGACTCCAATAGATTTGGCTATTTTTGTTCTTAAATTATTTATATGATTTTTCCATGTCAGTTTTTCAGGTATTTAGATGATAGAAAATAATTCTTTACATCTCGGCTGAAGAGGATTATAAATATTCCTCTCTGACCTTTCACTACCTCCCTTCTGGTGATTAATGACTGTACTTCCATCAGTCTGCTCCTTCATCTCCCTTCATCAGCCACTGATTATATATGTAAAAAAATTCACTAATTTCATTCATGCAAGCCCATAAAGTCCTCTCTAAACCACAGTAAACTTTACATTCATTTTTAAGTTTTTCAAACTTCGCCTACTTGCAAAAGTGACTGAGTCTGACCTTTTATTTAGCCAGGCATCCACGAGAGAACTGGTGCACTTTAAAGTCTGCTCAAATACGTGCGGTTTGTTTTTGTTTGCAAGCGATCAAGACAATCTTAAATTGAGGACTTCAAAATCTGCTGTGGGGCCCAGAAGAAAGGCTGCTGGTGCGGTGAATGTTAAGGCAGCAGCACAAACAAGGAAGGGACCTTTGAGAGCAGCTAAGACCTCCGGTGATGTGAAAGCCAAGCCCAGCCAGGAAGAAGAAACCTACAGGGTACGCTCTGGACAGATTTCCTGCAAGCTGAGTGTTTTGGTTTTTATTGAGTAAACATAATATGAATAATAAAAAGTTATTTTTTCTTTAATAAAGAGTAGTATTTCAATCTTACGATGGAGTATTAGGGCCACCCAACGAGATTATTATTTTTTTAATTACGAGAATAAAGTCATAATATTACAACATTAAAGTCGTATAAAAATAAAGTCATATGAGAATAAAGTCGTAATTTACAAGCTTAAGTCATAATATTACGAAATTATAGTCGTAATATTACAAGTTTAAAGTCGTAATATTACGAGTTTAAAGTCATAATATTACGAGATTAAAGTTATAATATTGTCTTTACACTAAAAAGCATGCTTATCACTGCATTCAAATGAGGAATGTTGAGCAACTTGTCAAGTTGTTTTTAGTGTTGCTGTAAATAAATAGTTAATCTTTTAGCACATTAGCAGGAAATTATCAGTAGCAGGACTTGGAAATTGTGCAAACGACTATAAACTGAAGCTGTATTGTAATTAATGGATGCATTGACAGATTTAGTCGTCACGTAGTTAATTTGGATGAAAGCTTATTAATCTAACAGAGACCCGAGTCATCATTTACGACCTTATAAACACAGAGACATGACTGTACACAACAGGTGTGGGGAAAATAAGGAGGAAATGAGGAACGGTAAATAGACACATCATGATTATGACTTTTTTTCCTCGTAATATTACGAATTTAATCTCGTAAAATTATTGCTTAAATCTCGTAATATTACGACTTTAATCTTGTAATATTATGACTTTATTCTCATAAATTTTGACTTTATTCTTGTAAAATTATGACTTTAATCTCGTAATAATAATAAAAAAAACTCGTTGTGTGGCCCTAATACTCGAACAGTCTGGTGAACGGATCAGTGTTGCATATATTGACAGAATCAATTTGACAATTTTTTCCCCATCTTTTAGTTTCTCATTTGTCTCTTTCACCACAAAATTTGACCATTTTATCAAGTTTTAAGCAACAACAACAAAATGAAACTATTAACATAAAGAACAATGGTTCTTTAAGACATTCATCCAGCCTGTTGAAAAATGGAGGTATTTGTCTTTACTGAGTGTGAATATGAGGATGTGACTTATTTGCTAGCTGAAAGACAAGTGATTCAATATAGAGCCTGTTTATGTGCGAAAAATCATTTTGGCTAGACGTTGAGCCCTCAGACTGCTCTCAAAAACCTCTTTATTGTGAAATGTAAAGGGAAATCTATAAATGCAAGTCAAACAAACAGTAAGATGTAGTGATAGTTAATAAAACATTGTGGAATCAAGATAAGTTTATACGATTATAGAAGTGCTATATATTCTCGCTTGATGTTTCTTTTATTTATTTATTTTTTGTGCTGCTCAGACGATTGTGGAAGAGCGGGATCAGGAGAGAGAAAGACGCTGGAAGGCAGAACAAGCCGTGCGGAAGCTGACGGAGGAGCTGAAGTGCCTGCAGACAAAAGTCAGCGAGGAAAAAGACCTTCAGAGCATGGCCCTGCACACCACTGACAGGTGAGAGGGAGGCTCAGGTGAACCAGCTGATGTCACGCTGAAGGAAGGCATAACTGAACACGTCTCTGTGGATTTTAGCTGTCAGCTGCCTAATGATCCTCATCATTTTCTACCCTCATAATCTTTATATGAGCTCTCCTGAGAGCAGAGCCACCCGCCAGTCTCATTCTTCAGCAGAATATCCATGCCAGCATTGTTCCTCGAACTCAGGCTTTTGTGCAGATGTTTAGCATTATTACCCCATAAACAGTTTAAAGATCAAGTTGCACAGTCATCCCTTAAAACCCTTAAATTAAAGTTTATCCAGCAATAACTTTTTATTCTCTCTGTTTGTTACACAAGGCCGTGTCGTGCCTGCGCTCTGCCGATAGCGGTGGCTTTTTGTGCATTGACCTTGTTTGCATCACATTTCTGTTTAGATCAATCTGCATGATGGTGTAATTAAGGGCTTGTGATGCGCATATGTCAGCAGGATTACATAAATCAGTCTCAGCTGTCACTTTCTAACAGCAAACACGGCTGTTCCTGTCAACATCCACACTCCTCATGAGACGGATTACAGAGAAGTGACTCATCAGTGCAGATTTGAAGCTACTGAGAACGACATATTACAGTTAGGGGGTGTCTGATTTGTACTGTGTGTGCATCTTGTTTTTTTTTCTCTCTCCGCTGGAGCGTGGTTTACTTTTTTACTTATGCTATAGATTTAAAAACGCTCTAATATTAGACATACTCGATTTTGTATGGTATTATATATTTAATAGACAGAAACTAATCAAAATGTCATCAAATCTGTTGATTTTTCTTTCTCGGTTTTTTCCTAATTAGAGGTGCGTTCTCGCAGCATCTCACCATCTTTTCATCCCATGCAGACTCAAGGAGCTGCTGTTGAAAGAGAGATCGGGACGCACTGAGCTGGAGGCTCGTGTGGAGGAGCTGGAGAGGAGGTGTCGGTCTCTAACGCAGCAGCTGGAGCAGGCGCGCCGCAGCGAGGAACAACACAAGGCTGCGCTGCAGAGAGTGGAGGAAAGCATCTCCCACGGAGACGCACTCAGGGCCTGCCAGCAGGCTGAAGAGGTACACACCGGTTTGTTAGTAGACTTTATTTGGTAAACATGTATTTTAACTGTAAAATAAAGACTGTAAAAATACTGTAGGCTGTTTAGTTTTAATAAATTTTAAACTAAAATTTTAAAAATATATTGCACGGACGGGGCCATTTTATTTACTCGCGGAGTATTCTGGGTAAATGATGACGTGGATAGGTTCTCCGTGCGAGGCTGCTAGCGAGCTGTATCTTCCCTGAAGGTTAATCTTGGACAATATCTGACTATCGGCTCTTTTAAATGAAACCAGAGAGCGTTGACAGAGAGGAGAAGGTAGAAATGACTCGGCCTGTAACTGAAAATGTAGATGGAGGACAACAGCTTAGCTTGTTAGTTTGTTGCGCTAGCACCGAGCTAATACATATAAGGCAATGTAGCGTCAGCACTAGCGTGAAGGCTAACAGGCTAATCTGAGGTTCTTCTTCCATGAAGCAGCTCTGTTGTCCTTCATCCATATTTTTAGTTCCAGGCTGAGTCATTTCTACCTTCTCCTCTCTGTCAACGCTCTCTGGTTTCATTTAAAAGAGTCGATCATCAGATATTGTCCAAGATTAACCTTCAGGGTGGATATAGCTCGCTAGCAGCCTCGCACCGAGGACCTATCCACGTCATCATTTACCCAGAATGCTTTGCGTATAAATAAAATGGCTCCTTCCGTGTTTAAATATATATTTTAAAATTTACAAAACTAAACAGCCTACAGTATTTGTACAGTCTTTATTTTACAGTTAAAATAAATGTTTATCAAATAAAGTCTAATGTTACAACTAATCGTGGATCCCTTTAAAGAAATAAATATGTTTCAGAATGCTCCTGTTGTCAAACACTGAAATCCAGCTGTGCGCTGATTCAACTCCATCAGGTGAAACGGCACCAGGAGCTGGAGAACAAGGCGGCGGCTCTGAGGAGAGAACTGGACATCCAGAGAGTTTCAGTTCAGCAGCACAAAGACAAACTGCAGCAGCTGCATGAGCTCCTGGCAAACAGGGAGCAAGAGCACAGGTACACATGAACAACTCTTACCATGACTGAAATCTATGGCGTTTATGAGCAGCGCGGGTCTTCAAGTGCCAAAATATGATCCAATTTTTGTCATATTTTCATATTTATCTTCTACTTCACTCAACAGAAGCAGTTCTTTGGTTCTATAAAACGTCTTACCTTGACTGTAGTGAGTCATATTTGTCAGCTTGAACTGATTTGTGTCTGAAAAGTAAAGTTAATATTTCTTTAGGTTTGATTTTTATCTGCAATTCTGCAACAAAAACGGTTATCTTGACAAAGTGACCCAAGAGTTGACTTGAATTCGGTTTTAAAATATAGAATTATGTTGAAATAGTGTTAGAGCTTGTAAACGTACAGGTCAGTGCACCATCGTCTTCTGATTGCCCTTCTTCCCACAGACGACAGCTGGAGTTGCGCTTGCAGCCCGGTGGGGCAGATTTCCGTGAGGCGGTGGCGAAGGAGGTGGCAGCAGTGGAAGAGAAACATAACCAGAAGGTGGCGGAGCTGCAGGAGAAACTGTCGGACGGCAGGAAACAGTACGCCGCCCTGGAGGATGAGTTCCGCATGGCGCTAACCATCGAGGCCACTCGCTTCACTGAGGTCTGCTGAAACACGTCAGATAACCTGAAATCACTTGTTTGGTTTTATACGAAGAGCAATAATGAATCTGATTAAATCTTTATTATTATGACACTTCCATAATGTGACAACTTTGTTAAGCTACTGTTTGGACAAGCAAACCGGAACACAAGGAGTCTTTTTGTTTTGGATGTGTTATCTAGATGTGTTTACAGCTTACTGTTAAATTCTGCTCAAGTTTTCATAGCATTTTACAACAAACTATTTTAAAACGCAGCTTATCATATGGAGTGTAAGCTGAGATTTTTTTTTCTTGTTCTGCGAGTTTGGATCTATTTCAGCAATATTTGTGTCAAATCGTTAAGCACTTTCAGGACATTCCAGCTATGAGTTTTGGTATTTCAGCAGTTCATCTTTTTTGAAATATTTAGCTTTAGCTGCCATATTTTTCTCATTAAAAATGTATGGAGCTGTCTTCAACATCCCTAAAACCCATTTGTTCTAGTTCTGTTTAATTTTTTTTAACGTTTTTGTGCAAAAATGTGTTTATTTTAGATTTTTTACACTTCCTAAGCTATCATTTTGACCTTTTCAGCTTTTCTGCTAATATTAACTTTTTTATGCTTCTTTCAGCTAATTTAAAATTTTAGCTGTTTCAGCTGTTTTCTGTGTCTTTATCTAATATTTAGCTAATTTCAGCTAATTTGACTTTTTTCAGCTAATTCACTTTTTTGTGATGGTTTCAACTTTTTACTGCTTAATTTAGCAAACAGTCTTTCTGTTTCTTTGTGCTAATTTTAGCTATTCCAGCTACTTTTAAGCTAGTTTTAGGCTACTTCCATTGTTTTTTATCTATTTCAAAAAAAAATTGGAAGAGCTTATTTTTTATGTAAAAAATAAATAAATAAATAAATAAATAAATAAATAAATAAATAAATAAATAAATA